CCCCAAAACCCCAAAACCCCAAAACCCCAAAACCCCTGAAAGGCTATTAGTGATATATTTTTAGAAAAAAATGATATATATAATCAAAATAAGCTTTGACTTATTATTACTTTCGTCAGTATATATACCTCTTTAAAAGGACTTTTTCTTTCATCAATGTCATTACAGTCTTCTGCCTCATAAATCATATCTTGATTTAGGAAGAACCCAGCCTCCAAAAGAATTTCAATAGCAACTTAAGCAGACAATACACTTATCCTCTCTTTTGAAGTTAATTCTAATTCCATTAGGACATCAACTTTACTTAAAATTTGTAAAAAGGCCTCGAACGGCAAACCTCTGTTTTAATTATGCGAATTTTTATACTGCTTTAACAATGGTTCAATTTAATCACAAATCATTTAGATTTTCATCTCTCTTTCGTCCTAATTAATCATCAAGAAACTTATGTAGTTTCCCAAATCTGCGAATTGAATCTACTTTTCAATCAAATTAATATCGTCATCTTCAGAGTTCTTAGTGAAGAGTAAAAATATTTGGTAAAGCTATTGACTTATAAAGCTATCAACAGAAATTTTTTTGAGAATTGTATTGGTATGCTTAAAGCCTCTCTTTACTAATTAGACATAAGCCTTTTCCTTATTACTGTCTGTATTAAAAATCTGCTTCCACTGTTTTCCACTTAAATACTTAGCTATATTTATCAAATTATTCTACACTTCTTCAGAAGCTGCATGGTTATAGAATTGAATAGCAACAACTTGATTTTCATTTTTGTAATACATCATTCTTGATATGAACTCGTATTATTTGAATCCTTATCCAGTAATCTCAAGTAAATATTTGACGTCTTCAATCTCGGTATCAACAACTATGCCTAACCTAGACCATAACTTTTATGAAACTGGAGGACTCTCTCTGCATTTAAATCTCACTAATTACTTCATCAGATGAGACTCTTATGAATTCATCATTGTGTAATTATCGAAATATACTTAATCCTATATTAAAATTAGATCTCCTCCCTTGGCTTTGGTTATCATATCTCCGAAAGTGATCTAAGGATCTTTGTCTTCTAGCATACTCTTTTTAAACTTCAGTCGGTTCAGCTACTATCCCATTAATTTATAGTAATTAAAAATAATGAATAAAATTAAGAGCTATTAATGCATTTATTTGCTTTTATTATTAGCAGAGTAACTAAATGATGAGTTGATGTATTTATAGTTAATTAAGATAAATATCAATATGCTTTTCAAAGTTAATGAGAGATGAATAAATTCTCTTTCCTATACACACAGTTTCTCCAGAACTCTTTAAAAGACTAGAGACGCCACATCCTCATCAGACTGATGCTTCTTTATTATTAATTTACAACGATTATTAATGCATCATTTAACTTAGCAGAGTAGAGGATCTTTCTCGAGAGCAGTCTCTGCTATCCACTGGGGAAGTATTGCAGAATGTTAAGGAGAACTTAGAAATCTTCTTAGCATGCTTTGTTGTAGTAACTTTGCCAGAAGCATCTAGAGCTACCTCAGTCATTGTCAGATTGTGAGAATTTAATTGAGGGAGAATTCCTGAGGATTATACTCTTTTCATGCTGCTAGTTCGCTCTTCAATAGATTTATCGAAATTGTTATTACCATGGATTGAAGTATTTTAATTATTGCTAATATCAACAAAACTCTTGAATGGAATGCGAAGATCATTATTATCAGGAAGGGGATTCGGCATAGAGAATATGTTATGAAAGGTTGATCTTTATTTTTAATTGTCGCTTGTAACTTTAACATCTTAGTTATTTAATTGGCTGGTTAGAGTTTTGATAGTCTCTTCTTCTTATTATGAGCACTCACTCATAACCTCAACTGTTTATGTTTTTGAATATGTAGCACCACCAAGAATATTACTAAAATCCTCATCACTAACAGTTTATTAGATCTGAACAGTACTTGGAGGAATAATTTCTAAAAATTTATTAAATCATAAATATTCTTACTTTTCAGCGAGTCTTGCTTGCTCATATTTTACCTATCAGTTGCTCTTGTAGATTTTTAAGTAGATCTTCTGCTATAAAAGATATTGCTATTATTCTAAGAGCTATTACCGTTGCTTAGATTACTATTATTATTAGGATTGTTAGTCTACCCACTTCCTCTGTGTCTTCTAAAAGCTCCACCAACAAGGTTATTGGAAGATTAAGAATCATTGGGATTGATGTTCTTTGTAGTCTAATAGGTCTAACCATAATTATTATTATACATAGCACTGTTGCATTGTCTATTAGCATGACGGGAGCCACGACTATTCTTAGATTATCTTGAAGAGTTCAGCTCTTAAGATTAATTATGGCTGTCTCTATTGGTCCCACTTGCAGTTGTTGCAGCTCCATTTGTATTATGTTAATTAACTACTTATTGCTAAGCAGGTTACTATTGCTGCTGCTATTACTAATAATAATTATGATTGAAAGTGTAGGTAGTTCTCAGAGGTGGTTTCTTACTTTCAATAGTAAGATTCGATGATGAAGTCAATTCTTTTCTACGACTATCCATATAGTAGTTACTGCCTGTGTCATAGTTTAAATCTGAGTTCTTTGAAATTGTACTCTTATTTTTCCTATAAGAAGAATCTTAGTCATATTTATGAGTAGAATTTCTTGATCTTTAAGTGAGTTAGTTTGAATGAATATCAGAACTTCCATTCATTCCTCCATATTGACTCTAATTGGTGAAATTCTAGTTTTGCAGATTAGTAGTGTTGATATTTAGAAAAGAAGTTTTGCTAATTGTGCTAAACTTTTCCTCTTCTATTTATTATTAGAGATTTATATCGTCGACACTGTTATTAGTATATTCTACATCAGGTATACTTTGGGCATCATCTTCACCAGGGAAACCGCAATTAATAATCGAGGATTTAACATCTATCAGAGTCTGCGAAAAATCCTTCTTTATATCTCCTATTTCAGATTAAAGCATTGTGACCTCTTATTTATAAAACGTTTTTGCGTTAGCTATTTCGAAGTTCTGTTTCACAACTAGCTATTATAGGCCTTTGAGCTTTCTATCCAAAAACTTGGTCTTAAGTTTGTAAAAAGAACTTGCCTCAGTGACATCACCCTCTCTTTAGTCAAAGAAAGCATCTATCTCTTTTTCAAACTTTTCATAAATTAGGTCGAAGAAGTCAGCAACCTTCTCGACTCCGTCTTAGTAGTTATTTTCTATGTTTTTGCATTACTTATATTTAGCCATTGAGTCATCAAAACCCTTTTCTGCTCCCTTCAGAATTAGATCCTTTAAAGGCGCATAATCTTTGCTACTAATACCTAATATTAGTTAACGCATGTGATCATTTAGCTCCTTGTTGACCTCTCTCAGTTGCACGTATTTATCAAAGACTTAGAAAGATCTTCTGTTATAGTATCTGAGCTAAGTAATTTCTTTTTCTGGTAAAGAATCCTTGACAAAATCAAACAGCTTAAAGACTCCTTTCCCGAAGAATTTACCACCATTCTCAATAGTCTGCTCAACTTACTAGCAGAGAGTTTTAAGATTAGACAGTATCTGATGTTCCAAAGTCTCCTTCTGATGAAGCTTAAGAGCTTATTCTACTTCTGCTAATGGTGAAACTTGCAAAAGTGCGGGAGCCTACTTAGTTTAATTGCTAGTATTGTTAGCTTGGTTGTTGCTATTTGAACTACTTAAGAAATCAAAGAACCTTTTAAACATATTATATTCCTATTAATTTCTATAATTAAATAATGATCAGTTCCACACAAAAATTAATCAGTCAAAATAAGCATTCATTTAGACTTTTTTCTACAGTCAATAAGTATGCTTCTGAAACTGTGGGTAATGGCTTTACTTTGAGAAGATATCTCATCGACTAATCCACAGGAAAAAGAATCTCTCCTTGGCATGATGTACCAATCTAATAAAAATTAGACCAACCTCTAGATGTATATTCAGGGTTTTTTGAGATTTAAAGGTAACATAATCAAGATTTAATTTTATATCAGGTAAACCTTAGCTAAAATGGAAGTAGCAACAACTGAGGAACTGACTCCAGTGAAGTAAGATATAAAGAAAGATAAGTAATCTGGTCAGCAAGTGCTAAGATTTTACGGCAAAGAGCCTCCTTTTAATTATGGAATGATTCCTTAGACTTGGGAAAATAATAAGCATCTTGATAAGGATACATAATGCTATGGAGACAACGATCCTTTAGACATTGTAGAATTAGGCAGAAAAGACATGTAGTCTTGCTCTGTGACAGATGTTAAAGTCCTTGGAGCAATATGCTTAATTGATCAAGGGGAACTTGACTGGAAGATTTTGACAATGAACGTAGAGGATTCAAAATATCTTAAAGTAAGTGTGAATATGGTCTTATATATTTTATAGATTAGGAATATCGATGACTTCACGTAGCAGCATCCAGGTGCTGTCAAAGAAATCTTTGAATGGTTTAGAATGATCAAGACCTATGATGGCAAACCATAGAATAGATTTGGGCATGATGAGAAAGTTCTTTCAGTTGAGAAAACCTTAGAAATCATTTGTGATAATAATGGATTCTATAGAAAACTTGTAGCAGGTAAACTCCCAAATGATTCTAATTTCTGGCTGAAACACCAGGATGCTCACAAGATTTGATTAGTAGTTATTAATTTCATTACTGGCTAAATCTTTTAAAACTAGTTTTAGGGGGTTTTGGGGTTTTGGGGTTTTGGGG